AGGGCAGCGCTTTGGGAAAAGCCTCCGGGTGGGGAAAAAAGACTGGATCAGCTCCCGCCTTTCTGTCCCGCCACCTGGCTGCTCCCATAGGGCTGCCCCGATGGTGCTTGCAGCAGTGGAGGAGGGGCCCAGTGGGGGAGAAGGCAGGAGCCGATCTGGCATTTCTCCCCCACCGGGCACCTCCTCCGCTGCTGCAAGCACCATAGGGGCAGCCCTTTGGGAGCAGCCGGGTGGCGGGGCAGAAAGGCAGGAGCCGATCCGGTCTTTTTTCCCCCACCGGGAGGCTTCTCCCAAAGCACTGGGAGGGAGAAATCAATTGGGGAACCGCGTTTCGCTTAAAGATGTTTCCTATGGCGATTTTCGCTTAAGGACGGTTTTCAATGCATCTCTATGGGAAAACGCGTTTCGCTTAGCGATGTTTTCCCATAGCGAGGCACCACTGTATGTGGCATCTAGTGTCTGTTCATGATACTGGTGTTGCAAAAAAACTGAAACACAGCTGTGGTCTGTGAATAAAGTCTTACACCAAAGTTGGATATCGCAACTAACATGAGCTTTAGAGTTCCCACAAGATTCTAACAAAGTGAATTGTCAAATAAAAATGCTACCCAACCTTGATTCTGGATACTACTACTATTCCTAACTTACTTCATCCTTGAAGAAACTGCTTAGAAGTGTAGTGTAAATTCAAGTTACTCTAAACTTAAAATAATTGTATTTAGTCTTCATTACTCACCTAAATATAAATGGCAAACCGAAGGACATACAACAGAACAGATTCATAGACATCAAGACTCCAGAGAACTTATCCTACAAAGTACAGTGAGGGGAAAGCCAAATGAGCTATTTGGTTTACCGTCTGACCATCCCCCAGAGAACAGTCAGATGGTAATTCCAGCCCTGAAATTACTGTAACTACAAGTGGTGTCTGTTATTTTATGGCTCACAAAAGTGGTGGGAAAATGAAATATAGATAAGATAGCTAGACGTAGGATTGAATTCTCTAGAGTTTGTTAGAACTGAATTCTCTAGAGTTTGTTAGAACTTCCCCCCCAAGAAACCTAAGGCCCAACTTTTAAGCAGAGGAAATTTGGCTCTCAGTTAAAGTAAGGATGCTTGTGTTGTTATTGAAATCCCACAAATGTAGAAACGTAACGCTGGAAGAACCACTGACCGAAAAGACTTTTTCTTACTCATAACCTGTTATGTGCTTAATATATACGAAGTATTCTAGAGATGCATCGGTAAGGGAGACCTAAGGGACAAGCTAGAAACAGGAGGAGGAGGATGACCTGACGCTGTCACTTCCATCTAAATGCTTTCAGTGACGCTGCCTTTAAAATAAAAACAAAAAAGACCCTAGGACACGGACATCTCACAGATTTGCCATCCCCCCCCCCTTAGCACAGTGCTATTCTTGACTGCACTTCACAGTTTATGCCTTCTGCTGAGTTAGACAGCAGATCCAAATATTCCTATCTCCCAGTGGATCTGAATTTGTAATCAAATGTGACTAAAATATCATTCACTGTGTGCTAAAATGTGCCTTACAGGATAGGATAAGGGTGGGTGGGCAGATAGGAACACATTTCAGTTTACCTTAACAGCCTGTACTGATAACTAGAATATGCCTGCCTTTCTACAATGCACAGAAAAACTTTGTGTGCTTTAGCCTGAAGGGAAAATGGGAAACTCTCAAAGGGAGTCATTTAGGCCGGGATTCCATAATAAAAAAGGTAACAGCCTTTTAAAATTGAAGTTTCATTGCACTGTTAAAAAAAACAATTTTTACTTTTTGTTTTTTTTTATTTTTATTTCACTGCACCTAGTCTAGGAAAAATTCATATGGGAAATATATAGGGGAATTCCCAACACCAGTGGCTAGCATAAAGAAGTTGAGGGTGATGACAACAACAGCAGTGACCAACAGAGGATGATGACGGAAAAATCCAAGGGCTGAGGTTCAAAAAGCTGCTAAGGTGGATCTAAGATGCAGGGCTAGCCCAGCAGAAGCATTCTTTACTCAATTTCAAATTGTAAACAGCACCAGGATTGGGGCGATGAAGGGACAGGTGGAAAACAAAGACCTCTTGGACTCAGAAGATCCCCACCCCTTGCTTCATTGGGTTATTCTGGTTTCATTTGATTTAAAGACCCGAGAGGTACTGCGACTTGGTCATCTCTTTTTGAAAATGATTAAAATATTGGCAGTTCTCTATCTTCTCCATTGGCAGTTCACTATCACTGTAGTTTTTGATGGTTCAACATCAGATCCCTTTGACATCGAAGCAGAGTGAAACAGGGCTGTGTCCTCGCGCCAACCCTGTTTGGGATCTTTTTTTGTTGTCATGCTGAAGCCCGCCTTTGGAACGGCAACAGAAGGTGTCTATCCTCAGACTAGATAAAATGGAAAGCTCTTTAATCTCTCTAGACTGAGAGCAAAGATCAAAGTCCAACTGAAACGCATGCAAGACTTCCTCTTCACCGATGATGAAGCTGTTGTTGCCCACTCTGTTGAAGACCCCCAACAACTCATGAATCGCTTTAGCAAGGCCTGCCAAGACTTTGGATTAACAATCAGCCTGAAGAACTCATGAGCCAGGGTGTGGACTCATCTCCCTCTATTACCATCTCCACACAAGAATTGGAGGTTGGTCATGATTTTGTGTACCTTGACTCAATGATCTCTGACACTCTCTCCCTAGATGTTGAGCTGGATAAACGCATTGGGAAAGCAGCTACCGTGTTTTCTAGACTCACAAAGAGAGTATGGTTGAATAAGAAGTTGACGGCATAGACCAAGATCCAGGTCTATAGAGCCTGTGTCCTGAGCACACTCCTGTCCTGCAGTGAGTCCTGGACCTTTTGTGCACAGCGGGAGAGGAAGCTGAACACGTTCCATGTGCATTGTCTCCAATGCATTTTTGGTATCACCTGGCAGGACAAAGTTCCAAATAGAGTAGTCCTAGAACGAGCTGGAATTTATAGCATGTATACATTACTGAAACTGCAATGTCTACGTTGGCTTGGACATGTCGTGAGAACGGCTGATGGTCGGATTCCAAAAAATCTCCTGGATGGAGAATCAGTGCAGGGAAATCGCCCCAGAGGGAGACCCCAGCTGTGATACAAGGAGATCTGCAAGCGGGATCTGGTGGCCTTAGGAATGGACCTCAACAGATGGGTAACCTTGACCTCTGAGTGCTCAGCCTGGAGGCAGGCAGTGCATCATGGCCTCTCCCATTTTGAAGAGACCCTTCTCCACCAGGCCAAGGCAGAGGCAGTCCCAAAACCAGCCAAATCAGGGAGCTGGACAGGGGACAGACTGGATTTGTCTTCTGTGTGGAAAAGATTGTCACTCTTGAATTGGAGTTCTCAGCCACACTAGACGCTGTTCCAAGTCCTCAATACAGAGCATGTTACCATAGTCTCTCGAGACTGAAGGATGCCTAATCAATCTATCTATCTTACACAGTTCTACACGTAACTCAATATCTGCCACAGATATCAACAGATCTCGGGGTGACAAAAGTGGGAGTTAAGCATGCCAGTATTTTGTAAATTTTACAAGAACAAGTCAAAAGCTTCCTGGCTGAAAAGAACTTCCCCAAAATCTGCTCCAGGGCCATTTGGCTGCAGCCTATCAAAACGGAGACCAGCTCCAACAGATGAAATGAAACC